GTTTGTTCTTTTGACAACAGGGCTTCTTAAATCTGCACAAGATCTCTTTAACGTGTTAAATAACAAAGATGTCCCTTTGTGGACCCACGATGTGACTGACACAAGCCATGGTGTTTTTAATTCCTTCATATGCATGCAAAATCTCTAAATGAAAAGACTTAAAAATGACCAACACACTTTAGTTATGATGTTGGCTAAGGATATTGAAAGTACCGTGAACCACAGGAAGAACACATCTGTCATGAGGTACAGCCAGAATGCTCCTTAGAAGTGAGGAGAACAAGAAACAAGAAACAGTCTTAGGTATTTTAGAATTGTTATCATGTGGACCAGTCCCTGAAGAAGAACCCATGCTTCGTAGAGCGTCAATGAGAAAATGGAAGACCTTCAGTTCAACCTTCCTAATGCCATAACCCTTTAATACAGTTCCTCATGTTGTGGTGATGCCCCAACAATAAAAAATTATTTTCGTTGCTACTTTATAACTGTAATTTTGCCACTGTGATGAATCAGGCTACCCCTGTGAAAGGGTCTTTTGACCCACAGGTGGAGAACCACTGAGTTCGATGGATTGATGCCATGGCTGTAACAACTGGCTGCAACACAGGGATGGTTGTGTAGAAGGCGCAGGCCCAGGCCGTGTTTCTTTCCGCTGCACAGAGGGAGTTATGAGTTGGAATTCTATGGCATTTAACAACAAAAACCACTTAGGGTCAAGCCAGTGACCAATTTCAAAACATGGTGTGCAGGGCTTTCCTTTCAGTGCCAACCGGATTTCGAGCCACATAGCCCCACGTCCGGTGGTGGAATACCATCCAGTTCTTGGGCACGCCCATAGCAACTGTGCCCATAGCAACTGTGCACACCCCTCTTCCACCAAAAAAGGCACATGGTGTGAGCCTCACTGAAAATGAGGTGAATTGCCAGTCCAGGCTGGGCCCCAAATCTACTCATGCTCCTTCTATTCCTTTTCATACCCAAGTTAAATGGGCCCTTCCAACCAGCCTACAGGGTACTTGGACCGCTAGCACCTAAGCGGTCCAGCACCAGCGAAGCGCGCGCCTCTGGGGCGGGGCGTGCGCTTCCCTTTGTTCTGCTCCATTGTGTGCCCGGTCCTCCTCGGGCGCAGCTTCTCCGCACCCAGAGGGGGGGAGGTGTTGGTCTCGCGAAGGCCTTTGGGGTGCTTAATTTTTTCCCTAGCCGTTGGGACCTCTTTGGTCGTGCCTTTCCCTCGCCGTTCCTCGCCCGTGCGAAGGGGGGAGGCGGAGCGGAAAGTGTCTTTTTCCGCGCCTCTCCCGCCCCGCTCCTCCTCCAGGAGGCATCCTAACCCAGCAACTCGGACAGTGTCCTGACAGGCTGCGCCATCGCCGCCGCCGGGGCCGCTCGCGAGCACCGGCCTTCCGAGAGGCGGAGGCCCCGGCCGCCCGCGGCTCCGGCGAGCGCCAGGGCGAAGGTCGGAGCCGGCGCGGAGCCGGAGCCGAGCCCGAACCTGAGCCTCCTAGCCGGCATCCCGGGAACCGACGCGCGGCGGCCGAGCCCTCCCCGTGCCATAGCTCGCGCTCCCCGGCTGCTGCGCGACCGCCTCGGCCCCCTTATATAGCCCTCTAAAAATAGCTCGCCTCGCGCCGCCTTGTAAGGCAGCAGGGAGATCCACAGCGCGCCAATCGACGCTGGCTGCCAAGGCCAGGCCCCGCCCCAGGTCCCACTCCGCTCTCCCCATTGGTCCTCAGTGACTTCATGAGCCCCCTGTTTACCTTACATGGTCACACGCGGGCTAATGGATGCCCTCCTCCGAGATCCCACGGCTGCGCGGAGGACCGGGCGGAGGGAGGGAGTTTGGGGAGGGGGGAAGAG